TAGAGACAGACATAACATCAGCAGTTCTCTGGGGCACCGGGCATGGGGATGAAAAGAGTCTGACTACCAAGCGGTAGAAGAGAACTTATGAGGGAGATGGGGATTCTACATCTCAACTGAGGTAAGGTAGTCGTATGTATGTATGTGTTTATCGAAATTGACCGAATACTGAGAAAGTGCTGGTATGTGCTTGCCAATTAAACTGCAAATACAGCTGATATTTTTTAAAGGAACATATTTTTCAAGAGACTGGGTGACTTCTACATTGCTGTGGGAAATGTGAAATGGGACAACTTTGAAAAGAGTTTCTTGTAAAACTAAACATATTCTTAGCCTATGATCTAACAATTTTTATTTTTAGAGATTTCTCTGGGAGAAATAAAAACATAGGTTCACAAAAGACTCATAAACACATTTTTCAATTTTATTTATAATAATAAAAACTAAGCCTCCTAAATGCCCAGATGAACAGATACATGAATTATGGTATATTCAACTAATAGGATACTACCTAGCAATAAAAAGGAATGAAAAGTTATACAACCTATGAATCCCAAAAACATCATGCTAAGCTAAAGACTCCAGATATGTAATAGAATGTATTCTACAATAGCATTTAATGAAGTTTTAGAACGAGTTAAGTAATCTGTAGTGAAAGAAAGCTTATCACTGGAAGCAGGACATGATGGGGAGGGCGGCACACTGTGCACATAAAACAGAATCAATGCAGTTTCTCAAAGTCAGAATGACAGCGGTGGTTGTGTGCTCAATATATATTTATTAAAACACTTTGAATATTAAGCAGACTTGAAATTATTTTAACCAGTAAAGGCTTTTAAATATATATTTTTTCTGATCCTCTGCCAAATTTTTGAGCTAATCGCTTAAGGCTGGTATGCCGTTAGTTGAGATACATAAGTCAAGGAGAGGTTTGAGAAAAAGGATGGGGAATTTGGCTTCCCCACATCAGAATGCAGGTGTCTGCCTCTGCTTCTCCTTCAAGCACCATTGCACTGAAACTGGCCTGCAAATCACAGCAGTCCTGTCTGTGCTTTCTTGGCTGTGTCTGTCTTTGCTTCCAAGGGGCAAGGGGCCCCTTGGTCCCCCTGCCCCTGGGCCTGGTATACAGCCTTTGTCCAAGTGCCCTAGAAGGTGACTGAGTGTCTGGGACCCTTTCTCAAGGTGGGTGGTGTCTGTAAAATAGTTTTTTAAAAAGTAATTTAAAGTTTTCATTTATTATTTATTTTATGTATATGTGTATTTTCCCTGCATGTATGCAAGCACACCCATGCATGCAACATCTGTGGAGACCAGAAGAGGGCGTTGTATCCCCTGGTACTGGAGTTAAAAATGGTTGTCAGCAGCCATGTGTATGTTGGGAACCAATCCTGGGTCCTTTTCAAGATCAGTCAGTGCTCTTAGCAGCTGAACCATCTCCCCAGTCCCCTAAATAATATTTTATTGATTCTTTGAAAATTTCATACAACATACTTTGATCATATTCAGACCCCATCCCTCAGAAACCTCCCCTATCTCCTCTCAGATCCACCCTCACCTCTCCACTTCATGTCTTCTATTATTTTTTCACTAATATTTTTTAATTTTATGTGTATGAGTGTTTTGCCTGCCTGTGAGTGCACCCATGTATGCAATGCCCACAGAGGCCAGAAGAGGGTGTTGGATCCCCTGGAACTGGAGTTACAGAGGGTTGTTAGTTGCCATGTGGGTGCTGGGAACTGAACCTGGGTCCTTGGCAAGAGCAGCCAGTGCTCTTAACTGCTCAGCCATCTCTCCAGTCTCCTCTAGTATTTTGAAGGCCTATCAAATCTAATTGTGTTCCCCAAATGTTCTCCCCAAATGTAGGTCCTTACCCTGAAGCCTGGTCAATACACCCAGTATAACACCCTTAAAGAAAACTGACTCTCCGTCTCCCAGAAGCTGTCCATTGCCAATAGACCCTCAGCTGGGGCTGAGGCTTCTTACCCACCTGCCCCTCTATGCTGGGATTTTGTCCAGCTTGGGCTAGAGCAGGTCTCCAGCTTGCTGTCACAAGTGTGGTGGGTTCATACCGACAACTGCCCTGTTGTGTCCAGAACACAGTTTCCTTGTATTCATCCACAGCCTCTGGCTCTTACAATCTTTCCACTCCTACAATGATTCCTGTGCCTTGGAGGGCGGGATATAGTGTCCTATTTAGGACTGAGCACTCCGATGTTTCTTATTTTCTGCACACTGACCAATTGTAGGTCTCTGTATTAATCAACATCTGCTGTAGGAAGAAGCTTCTCTGGTGAGAGTTGAGAGATACCCTAATTTGTGGTTATAATAAGTCATTAGGTGTCGGTTTAATGCTAGGTCCATTTAGCAGGATAATAGTAGTGGGTTCTCCTTGATTAAGAGTGCCAAGTATGGTCTTCATCTGAGAGATTTCTTTCAAAGGCCAGTTCCTCTGCCCAGGCCGGTGAACTGGTAAACACTGGGGCACTGGGGCGCTCAGGAAGGAGGTGCAAACTTCCTGAGCGCCCTGCAGCCACTGAATATTGCCAGCCTGTGGCGCCATTGAGAGACTGACAGCACCTGGGTGCCAGGGACCCCATGCTGCAGCTGGGTGATTGCCCAGCCCACACCAGGTCGCAGGGCCCGGGGAAATCATGTGTGACCACAGGCCCTCTCGGTGCCCGCAGGACCTAGGGAGCCTGGGCGGGGAGACCGGGATATCAGGGGAGGCAACGAGGCTGGGAGTGCCCTGCACAGCGCACTGCTTGGCTTCCGGTGTCCTTTCCTAGGCTGCACGCCGGGTGCACAGACCTGTCCTAGGCGGGTGGCTCCCCCTGGTGGCGCATTGTGGCTGCAGAGCCGAGGAGGAGCCGGGTACCGCTCTCTCTCTACAGCCCTGTGCGCTTTCTGGCGGGGAATGCCAGATCAGCCAGCACAACTGCAGCTCCTGTGATAATTGCATCTCATAGGGAGATTCAAGGAGCAGAAAGCACGTAGGCTGCCTGGCACTCTGACCTTTTAACCCACCCAGGACTTCAAGAGCTTTTCTGGAATGCCAGTTGCCTCTGTCTTTCCCCAATATGAGCCCAAGGGAGAGCTGTTGCAACATCTTGATCCCTAGCATCTATATGCTGATGGCTGTTAGGTGTAAGAGGCTTTAAGCAAATATTTGTCTCTGAGACCTCTGAATTACTCTTAGGGATGTGGGGATTGAGTGCATTTAAAGGGGGTATACTGAGAGAACCACAGTGCAGAGAAGGGGGTTAGTGGTGCATAGGGTGCCTGAATAGAAGCCCTGTTAAATTTAGTTGCTCTACCACACCTTGAGTCTGAGTTTTTTTGACTCCCAGTTACACCTCTGGGGCTCCAGCACCCATCTGGAGAGTGGAAAGGAGGGAGGGGAAAAAGGGGGATGGGTAGCTGCCATCTTGCCCATCTCTGACAGGAGCCAGCCTAGAGTCCTTGAGAGGATGCCTCCTCTGCTCCTGGAGTGTAGCAGGTCCCTTAGGGGTCCCGGGCACACATTCTGAGCTAGGAATGCCCTCCTGAGAGTGGTTGACTGGCCACTTTCCCAGGCCCAGAGTGAGCAGAGGACCAGGCTGGCCCCATTCCTTATAGCCTAATTAATGTAAGCTGACCTCTCCAGGTCCTCTAAGCCTGGACCCAACATCTCTCCTGGCCTTACCACTGCTCTCCTTCAGCTGCCTCTGACCAGGAAGTTCTCGGAATGTACACAGGTTTGCCCACACCTTTGTTGTTTTCTCTGCCTACACCTTTGACTCTTGAAGCCAGACTTAGCTCCTTCTCTGATTCCTCAACTGAGTTCAGAGCACTTGTACTTTGCCCTGAGTCATGCTCCTATTCTTGCTCAAAGAATACACCCTGGAAAGGCAGGCAATGTTTGTCATCTCAGGTTCTTGCAGACATCAGCTACTAAATGAATAAAAGAAAGCCTGAGTGACAGCTGGAAGGGAACTCATGGGATGAGGATGGGATGGGATGGTCACAGTGGCTCACAGAACTGGGGCAAGCTCTGGGTGAGACTGATCCCTTGGGGATAAGCTCCTCCCCTTCAGGGACATGCTCAGTCAGCTGTCTTCCCTTCAGTCCTTCAGCCCCTTTGCTCAAATCTCTGTCACCTGAAGAGAACCTTCTCCTGACCCTGTGTCTCCCTCAGCCATTGGCCCATCCCTGCCTCCTCTAAGTCAGTCCTCTCTCCACCTTCCCATCCTGCACTCAGCCTTGGCCTTGCCCTGCATATCATCTCCTTACCTTTGGGGACACACCCATGGATGCTTCTTCTTCTGGGACTTTTCCTGGCCATAAACGCATCCCTCCTCTAATAGTCTGACAAAAGAGATTGAAGGGTCTCAGTAAGCAGCTTGGTTCACTCAAAAGCACTCCCCATTGTGGAAGATTCTAGCACTTAGCTGTTTGCTTTTTATCTCTTTCTCCTCTCAGAATACACAGGATTATCCTTCCCCACCTGCACAGCAGTGAGACAGTGCCAAGAAACTAGCTCTGGCCAGGAGTCTGGGAGCAGAGAGGCCTGTTCTTACGGTCAAAGTTCTTGCCTACCAGGGTGAGAATTTCCTGGCTTTCTTTCATCAGAACAGCATGATGAAACAGAGGTCCAAATAGTTGGCATACTGAACCACCCTTAGAAGCCACTGCCCTAGAAAGTCACCCAGACCGGCCATAGACTTTGTACGAGCAAGATAAGTATGTGGCAAGTCATGTGACTGAGATTGGTGAGTGATTTGAAGTTTCCATTAAATGAATGGATGGCTTGTTAAACTATAAGGATCTATGCACATTGTATTATTGCTGTTAAAATATAGCAGGTGCCTAGGGAGGTATGAACTTCAGCAAGGTGGCAAAACCCTGTGTCATGTGACCACCCTGCAGAGCTGGAAGAGGGAGAAGGAAGCGGATGAACTGGCAGAGCGTATCACCAAAGAAAGGCCTTTCCTCATTTGTGATTTGCCAAGGGCTTGCTCAGGACCTGTTTGCATATTTAATCTCTGATGAAAGGTTAATGAATCTGGTACCAGTGACAGGAGACAGACATTACTTCTATAACATTTAGTTTTTGCAGTTGGGAGAGACAGAATTTTTTTCTTTGACTTGCAATCTCTCCCCCACCCCACCACCAATCTCTTGAAATCTACAATATAACATTTTAACGCCAAATCAATGCTAACTGGATTCAGGCCCAGCTTAATCGTATCTCTCAATCTTTGAGAGTGTTTGAAGAAAATCACAACATGGCTTTGTTTCTTAAGAAGAATCTGCTAACCAGTCAGCAGATAGAGGCATGCCCTGAAAGGTTTGTCTATGCCCCATTCCCATAGTCTTTGCTTCTCAAAATCTTCTCTTCTTTGCCACCTTTCTCCATGGCGCTTCTTTAACTTGTGGCGCTGTAGGGCTCAGTGGGCCCCGTTTGATGAATAGTCAATAACATTCTCGTGATGCTTAAATAGAAGGTGGGTAAGTGAAATATTTCTTGGGTCTCCCCACCTCTGTCACCCACCTTACACAGCCCTAAAGAGTTTCCTCTAGCTCCTTCTCACAAGCCAATGAACTTCAATGGGAAAAGAAGGGCCTTCCTACTACCTAAGACCACCCCCCAACTTTCAGGCGGGAGAGACTGGAGCAGCCAGAGAGAGCTAGACAGCCTGGCCAATCATTTGTGAGAAGTGAGTCATGGTGGCTCTTCTTGGCTTTTGATTCTTCATTTTCAAATAGAACCTTGAGACTAGTATGGCCCCTATCATGAGACTGTGGTGAGGATTCTGCCAGAGGCTTTGGATCAAAGGGTAATTGATAGAGACATCCTTTTCTTCTTCTAAGAAGGGTCAAAGAAGGATGGAGAAAAAAATCCCTTCAGACTATTCTTTTCCTGGTTCTTTGATTCTTCCCTTGTGGGGCTAGATGGTACAGGGAGTTCCTAGGGCTGGGTGGGATTGAGGGGAAATATCTAATTGTGGGGATCCTGGCCCAAGCCAGCCAGGCTTCATGGAGAAGCAGCACCACAAGGAGGCCTCAGACTGGGAAGAGATCAAAGGATACTTTTGTGGTTGATCCTTATGGTCAATTTGACCAGATTTGGCTCTAATGCATGAAATGACCCACCACACATGGTTCAAGGACCACCCACATGCGCCTGGGAAGTACCCCTCCTGATCTCTTTCAGAACCACAGAAATGGACTCTTGGGCTCTGTGCAGTGTGTTCAGAATCCACATTTAACAATACTTTTGATAGACATGATACACCCAAGGAAGTTAGTGAAACTTTGCTTTCAAAGTGAAACAAAAGCGCTATCTTTATTCTCGCATCAGGGAGGGAAGGTTTGCTGGCTGGAGGCAAATGATCAATTACGACTATGGTATTAATTTTGTTTTATGTCATGGACATAGCTGTTCCTGTCCAACCCCACTTCTAGATATAAAATCAAGGGCAGTGATTGATTGGGCTTCCCAAAAGCCCAACTCCATGGGCTTTTGACATTGGAAAGCAATCCAAGGGCTCACCCAACAGCAAGCATTGCCTGGGGCCTGCTTAGTCCTAGGCTAATGGCTTGAGAGTAACCCCCTCTAATCCTGGTCTTTGAAGGATGAGGCATAGGTACTTTCTCTGTCTAGAGGTGTGTGTGTGGGGGGGTTCTCTTGATCTCTGATAGACATGTGTGACAGCATAAATTCATAACCAACTTACACCAATAACAAAACTATAATATATTAATAGCTATATAACAGAATAGATGTCTGTAAGGAAAACCAATCTCCCAGAATCTGAAAGCTGACATTCATTGTTCATGAGGTTGAATGAAGGTCTTGCCTTCAGAATTTGGGTAATTTGCTTTGAGCAAGTTCACGGTTAGTTGCAGGGAATCATTTTCTAAGCAGAATCACTGCAAAATGCTGAAACTGGCCCCTGAGGTTGAGTAGAGCCTCCCTCCTCAGGGAGAGCTGTGGAAAGAAGGCTGTTGGCTTCAGAAAGAGGGCTACATGTAATAGTGACTTTTGCAAAGACGTCAGCCTCACAGCAGCTTGACTACTGACATACACTTTTTGACTTATCACTACATGAAGCATTTCTGGAAGGCACTTAAGGGTCACACATGGAAATGACCACTGCCAAGCTGATCCAGGGGACATGGCGAGTCAAGTCTCCTTCTCACAAAGGCCAGGTGCAGAGTCTGTCTGGTGGGACCCTGGATGGCATGGGTGGTCAGATCAGGATACTCTTCGCCAAATTTTAAGTACTTGCTATGCTTGACGAGCATGTGATGTGTGTTTATACGCTATCCTGCTGCCCACCAAGCACTCCGGAAGGAGGCCCTAGTGTGAATGGACAGAAGAAGGTAAGGTCTGGAAGATGCCCTCAGAGAACCACGTAGCAGCACTGCCCAGCACCAAGACAGTCTCCAGTAAATAGAATCATTGTTGGTGAAGGGCCTCCTTTCTGGACTTCTCTCTCTGCACCTCTATCACACAGCAGTGGTGGCTCCCAGCCCAGGCCCCCAGAGAAGGGCTTCCCCCGAGGTAGTGAGAAGAGGCTGAGAAAACATCGATGAACACAGCATGTTTGAAAGGAAGTCAGGTCAGCCTGACTGGCCTCTACTGCAGTTTGTCATCCAGCAGTCGCACAGTGACGACAGGTGACATCCACTCTGCTCCATCATTTGTTTAGCCTGCATCTCAGATGACCTCCCTTTACTCCTCTGTATACAGGATGAAGTCCATGTGAGGCTGTTTATCTGCTTCCAGGGAATGGCTTGGAGGGTCTTCCCAGGTCTCTGAGGTGAAGGGTATGGCTTCTACTTTGGGGATGGGAGAGTGTGGTCTCCTCGGGTCTTTGTTCTGTGTGACCGTCTCAGTTTGAAATGCAACCCCAGGAAGGTTGCAATAAGCACATACAGCAGAGAGGGTCTCGGGTTCTTATGAACAGTGTTTGGATGAACTAGCCTTTGGTTTGGTAGTTCCTGCTCAGGTACCAGAGTACTGGCTACAGAGAAAGGACTATACTTCCCAAACTGGCAGCTTCCAAATCAGCCTGCAGGGCAGGAATCTGAGGGCAAAAGGGAGCCAGCCAATCCTAGGTTCCATGCTAGGCTGAACCCAGATATGGCTCTCCTAGCCCAGCTCTGGCTGCTAAGAACTCAGTCACCTTGACAACTCCTCTCAGCCTGCCTCTTCACAGGATGTGAGGAGAGGTGGGCTGTCAGGCAAGGAAGACACTGCCCCCTTTGCCCACTCCACTTAGGCACTCCCACAGGATTGGTGAGGGCAGGGGCACCTCATGGACATCTTGTCGGAAGACCCAGTACTGAGGTGAGCCTCTACTAGTGTAGGGCCCCTTCTAAGGACTTAGGAAGACTGGGCCCTCTAGGTCTGTGCGTAACCAGTTCAGGTACACTTCAGCCCCCAGGAAACATGGGGCAGACTTTGGGAGGAAGAGGCAGGTAAGGAAAAGTGTGAGTGGGGCTTTCTTTTAAAAAAAAGGAAAAGACATGTTAACACTAGTAAATACAAGTAGGTGTGAAGGAGGCAGGTTCCAGTCTCTAGACAGGGCGGTGGCCCGGGCTGAGGGTCAGATGAGGCCCGAGGCATTCTCCTGCAAGTTGTACTCCCTGTTCTTCTTCACCCTCCAGCTGATGAAGAAGAGCAGCAGCGTACCCAGTGCCTTGTAGGCCACCTGTAGGCCCAGGTACCTGTGGGGCCGGAAGAGACGGGAGTGTGAGGGAGGAGGGCTCCAAACTTGTGTCCCAGGACCAGACCAGTAGGAAGAGGAGCCTTTTTCTCATAGTGGCCTGGGAAATGTGATGAACATGACTCAGGTAAAGGTCTGTCACTTCCCAGGTAAGGGTCACCTTGGACAGACACGGGGCAGTAATGATTCTCAGCTTTCTAGTGGTACCACCAAGGGTCAAAGGGGACACTACTGCCCCAGCTGACTCCCGAGGGTCTGGCTCTTCCTGAAGCCCTCTTGCTGTTCCCCTGCTGGCCCTCCCTGCTAGTCCCCAGTGTTTCCAGCCCCCACCCAACCCCAACCCCATCAAGATCACCTGCTCCACAGCTTCAGTCAGTGGAATGATAACTGCGGGAGAGGTGGCAGTGCTCTGGGGTCCTGGGGGTAGGGGTTGACTTGGCCCACTGAGGCAGGTTGGGTCCCCTGTCCTGGACCTCAGCTGGGTGCTCTAGTGGGGTCCCCCTTTCTCTAAGCAGCAGAGGTGGTCTGTCTGGCATTTTCCATACCCATGGCCTCTCTTAGCATCCAGGCACCCCTTTCCCTTTGATAAGCTTTTACTGCTACTATGGGCCTCCTGGGGTCCTGTGCAGGAGTACCTCAGGGGGACATGTCTAGGCAGACCCTGGGCAAGTCTGGGAAGACTTGAATGGCTCCCCACAGGTCCTCAAATCCTGCCATGGTGGTCCCTGCCCCTTGGCTGTGGCAGAGTGTGCAGAGGTGTCCCCCATGTCTTGTCCCTCAGAAGCCCAACAGCCCCCACCATAGCCACCAGCTAAATGACTACTTTTTGTTGGGACCACAGGCCTGATCTCCTAGACACACATGTGTTGGGGGGCGGGGGGCGCAGTGGGCATCACCTGTTCCGGAGAGCATCGTTGTTGTAGTAGGCACAGGCTCCTCGCCTCCCTGAGCACAAATGGTTCCACCGGATACAGGAGGAGTCGATGAGGAGGCCATACAGGGCTGGAGATGGCAGCCAGGCTGGCAGTAGTGGGGAAGAGAGTTCAGAATCCAGGTCACGGAGACCTGCAGCCAGAGCTGCCCCGAGTCTCTCCCCGCCCACAGCTGCTGTGCACAGTTCATACACGTGAGACCAGCTCTGTCGTGCCCTCAGAATCACAGTGACTTGGGAAAGCAGAAAGTTGTCAGTGAAGCCTGACTTCCCCTTTCACCAGAAGACTTAGGGGATAAAGGGGACGCAGCCCATCCTTTCAAGGCAGAATGAGTCACAGGGTCACTCTGATGTCAACTCACTCATACTGCATAGGTTTCCTGCTCAGGGTTGGCTCCAAACAGAAATTTGCTCTTGGGGGCGCCAGTGTCCCAAATCCTCACCTGTCCCCAGAGGGTGGGTGGCCTCATTGTAATCAAGAGCAGGCAAGCCACAGGGCACAGAGCTGGCCTCAACCCTAGTTCAAATCCCATTTCTTCTTCCTCTCCAAACTGTCCTTCTAGATGAGACAACACCTCCTGGAGATCCTTAACACTCTAGCTACACAGAATCTAAGTTACCAGAACCTTCCAGGATTGGAGTGGTAAGGTGTGTGTGGTCCAGTAGGCCCAATGCCTTACTGAGTACTGAATATTCTGGATGCCCACTACTCCAAGCCTACCATGCTGTGTCATTAGCTAAGTTCTGGGCAGTCAATGGGCCAGAATGGACTTTGTCTAGGATTACATTGAGGCTAGGCCATTCTGTGGGCTGAGAACAGCCTCCCTGACTATCTAGGGCTGTCGCTGCTTCTGGAAGAAAAAGGTAATTGAACCCTGTGGCCCTATCCATAAATGAGAAACTACCAGAAGCAGCCTCTCAGTCCTGTTCACTTCCCAGTTTCCAGGTAAGCAGCTAGAAACTGCTACATAGGTAAACCTCCAGCAACACATCCCTAAATAGAGAAGTCAAGGAAAGTTTTCAGTCACATCTCAGTGGGTAACTGTAAACCTGCTGGAGTTTATAAATAGGCAATCTTTTCATCTACCCCACAGTAGAGATGTATTCTTGAGTGATGGATGGACTTCCTCTAGGCCTGGATTTTCTAACTGTGGTCCCATATCGAGTGATCTGAGCTTAGGTGGAAAAGCAAAAGCAGCGAATACTTGTAGCAGTGTGACAGAAAGGTCATGTTCAAGGTCATTGAAAGAAGTAGGGCAGGGGTCCTCCGGTTGCTGCTTGGTTGCAGTAGAAAGAATGCAAGTTCCCTTTTCAGCTGGGATTTTAGAGCAGGTTATAAATAAAAACAAGGAGCTATAATGACAACCCAGCCTCTGCCAGGACAAGATACCTTGGATCCCCTGTGTGACCCAGGAAGTGTGACAGTCATCATTCAGAGCAGCAGGGCTCTGAAGGACCTTGAAAGGACTTCACCAGGAACTAGGACACTACCAGTAACAAGAGGAACAAGTGGCTTGAGGCCAAGAAACCCTATTAAAAATATGGGCACAGGGAGGGAGGCAAGGGGAGGCTGGGAAGATGGTTCAGCAGTTAAGAGCACAGGCTGCTCTTGTAGAGGATCTGGGTTTAATTCCCAGCATCTACATGGTGGCTCACAACCATCTGTAGCTCCAGTTCCAGGGGACCCAATGCCCTCTTTTGGCCTCTTCGGGCATCAGGCATATACACAGTGCACATGCATGCAGGCAAAACAAATACCTTTTTTAGAAAAGAACTAGAGGAAGAAAGTGCTGGCACAGACAGGGCCCTGCATCGGAAGGACTACAGCTACACCCTGGAAGATGTGGAAGCCACAGCAGGGTGAGATATGGCCTGGACCCCTGTGTGATAATGCAGAGTGGGCTCCATAGGGATTTCAGTGTTGAAAAGCACACATTGATAGTAACTGCAGTCCCTCTGGCTGAAATCTCCAAATTCTCCCCTGTAGTTCTTAGTAAAAACATCCTCAGCTCATTCAGTCTCTTCTGAAGTCATGGCAAGACCTGTAGTAATGCCTGGTGTTCAGTCTAATTCTAATGCATGAATGTGTCAAGGGGCAGCCCAGTGTAAGCAGGCTGGAAGAGGTTCTGCATTGTGTCCCCTCACCCTGCAGTCCATGCACCTGGAGAAAGCCTGCTCTGGTGGGGAGCTCTCCCTCCCTGTGGGGTGCTGCTGATCACATCTGCACAGCTTGAGTCTTGTTGGTGGGGAGGCCCTCTGGGCTACTGGAGGACAGACAGGGGTCACAGGCAGAGGACCCACACACAGAAGAAACATACTCTGAACTGCAGTAGAAATGGAGGTTGGAAAATGGGAAGGAAGCCAGGGCCGGGCTCAGTGGCTGTTCTGTCTGGGGCAGGAATGCAAGGTTTTGTTTCCTACGATGAATTCTTGGAGAAAGATTTAAAAATACCTACTTTTAACTCTGTGTTCAGTATCCTCAGCTGTGTCCGCTTTTCTTTTCTTTTTCTTATATAATTCAGCTTGGAGCAAATGCCATAGATGGAATCTTTACTGACTTTAAGCAGTCAGGCAGATTGTCCCTGTCTGGGTTCGGCATCTGCTATTGGTTATACACCACTCTTTTGTACAGAGATGAGGCTGGGCTTCCCCAAGCCCTGCTCTGCCCCCCATAGCCCTTGGATGCCCACTGTCCAGGGTCTCTATTCCGGAAGGGAGGCGCTTAGATACCTACCCAACAAGCGCATCAGCAAGAACTGTACCCCGATGGCAAATGACTTTTCATCCTGATTCACCACCCTGAAAAGGAAAACAGGAAATCAGCAGTGGGAGGGTTCAGAGCTGTACCTTCACCTGGTCGGGGGATCGGGGACCTGCCAGCCTCAGAGCAGGTCAGAACCAGTCCTCACGTGATCTGACCGTCTGACCATTCACCTGGCTGAATGCCCCTGTTTCAGAGCACCATCTCTGGACTGGCAACATGCCCTGGGCTAACTAGTGTTTGGAATGCGGAGTCTCAGGCCCCATGTCTATTAATAATACAAGGATGTGTTGAGAACAGTGACTCTGGAGGTGGGCCCAGCAATCTGTGCCTGCCCAAGCCCTCCTGGAGATTCAGATGCAAGCTAGGCTTTGAGAGTCACTGGTCTGTCCAGAGCCGACCTGAAGAGGAAGCAGGCAAGGGAGGCTGGGAGTGGAGAGGAATTTCTGGCTGGATGCTTAGGACCACAGGTCTGAACAACTCCCACAAAGTATCTAGTACCAGGAAAAGATGGCCCTGGTATAATTAGGGGCCCCGGGGATGTCAGTATTCTGTGTACATCTGGAAGAATTCCTTGCCCTGGGCCAGCTTTGTGGGGTGTGACTTGAGCAGCTGCAGAGGACTCTACCTTCAGAAACGCCCAGCTTCGGCTTATATCTGATTTTAAATTCTTCACAACTCACAAGTCAAAGGCTTTACAATTTGCCCTGGGTCCTGTAGATTTTGCACCTTGTCCTGCTGTCCACCCCTCCTCTTCAAGAAGAGGGAGTGTGTTTGGCCAAATAAGGAGACTGTGAGAGATGGGGAGAGAGCTGTCATTCCAGCCTGGGTGATGGGGTTGTTGTTGGGGGCGGAAGCAGAGTAGAGAGGACATCTCACACATGGGCCGCACAGGCTGAGGAGCCAGGCACAGGGCAGAAGTACCTGCCATACCTCTGTGTTCTCAGCACACAAACTCCTAGCAGTAGATTATCATTTGGAAATAATTCAGAGCTGAGGGGACAGTGAGGAAGGGGGACTCAGAAACAACCTCCAGACCTCTGCACACTATTTTACCACAGCCAAAGTCTACTCGCAAATGAGAGAGCCTTCCTCCCAGACCCCAGAGGAACGGCCCAGTGTATGTGTGTGTGTGTGGAGGGTGCTCTTTGGGGAATAGATGTGGGGGGGGAGGCACCAGTTGGGATTTTCCAATGGGAAGTGCCTCAAATCCTGAGTCATCACTATCCATTCAGGATTCTGTTTCCCTCTGTGCCTACAGATCCCCTCCAATGGCCCAATCCTTACTGGCAGCCTTCATTGCCAACTTACAGGGCTTAGAATCACCCAGGAGACAAGCCCCTTATATCTGTCAGGGTGTGTCCACAGAGTTTGGCATAGGTGTGAAGAGCCTCCCTGAGTGTGCATGGCATCATTTAATAGGCTGGGGTCCTGGACTGAATAGAAAGGTCAAAGTGAGCTGAGCACAGGCATTCATTCATCTCTCAGCTTCCTGAATGTGGATGCAGTGTGACCAGCTTCGTCATGTTCCCGCTGCCCCATAGATCATGAGGAAGCTGCCATCAGGTCTTCCCACCATGATGGCCTGTACCCTCAAACTGTGAGCCCAAATCAACCCTTCCTTCCTTAAGCTGCTTTTATTAGGTATTTTGTCATAGCAATAAGAGAAGTAACCAATACACTGTCCCCCTTGCCTTTATCCTTACCCTGGGCAGACTTACCCCTAGATCCTTAACTAAATGAAACTTGGGTACCCTAATTTGGCATTTGATTAAGCCCCTGGGCCCCTTCTGGTCATTGGCCCATCTGGCCCAATTTATTCCTGCTTTTCTGACCACTCTCTCCTTCATGAGTGTATTGCCTGCATGTGTGTAAGTGCACCCATGTTGTGCAATGCCTGCAGAGGTCAGAAGAAGACATCAGATTGCCTGGAACTGGAGTTACGGATGGTTTGTTAGCCACTATGTAGGTGCTGGGAACCGAACCCGGGTTCTCTGCAAGAGCAGCTAGTGCTTTTAACCACTGAGCTATCCCTCCGGCCCTCCTTCTATGCTTTCAACTGACTTCTGCTCCTAGGCTGTGTTCTCAGGCCCATTCCATTTCTCTTTCCAGTCTTGGGGAGTTTCAAATGACTCTGATCTTCACAAGTCAGGGAGATGGTTTGATAGGGATTACTTTACCTATCAGAATTCCTTACCCTGCTCCCCATTCTCCTCTTTAGGACCTCAGGCAGGTTCATCTCAGGGTCAGAAAGTACACCATAGTTCAACTGACCCAGTGAATGCACTGGAATAGGGAGCAGTAGAGAAGGTGACAAGGTATTGGGGAGGTGACATGCTATGCACTCTGAGCATCCCTACATTCTTATTGAGTGTTTCAAAGACCACATAGTCCTGACTGTTGCTCCTGTGTCATTTCTTGGGGCTGTGGTTGCAGCCAGAAGCCTTGAGGCATGAGCCGGAGCAGAGATTGAGAGCAGCTTGCCTCACTGTGTAAGCAAGTGGCTCTCTCAAGCTCAGTGTCCCTCAGCTGTGATGTAAGCCCTGAACACAAAGCACATGACTGGGCCTCCCCATCACCTCTGTAGGATCTAGAGGACACGGATAATTGATACAACTTGGGCACATGCTGATGTCTGCTGTAACCATGCCCTTTGTCTTGGACACAGGGATTTCCTATCTTCTGCCAGCATCCTTGAAACAGTAACAGTGACAGGAGTGTGGCAGCATGCAGGCTAATTTGACAGAACTGACTGGCCTAGGGTAAAATCCCAACAGCTGATTTTTTTTTCCCAGTGCTAGAGACTGAACCCAGTGCCTTGCATATGCTAAACAAGTGCTGTCACTGAGTTGTACTTTTAATCTAAAAAGTGGCTGCTTCTGGTCCTTCCTCATCTCTTAACCTTTTGGGGGAAATAGGCCTTAAGCATCCAGCCAACTGTTAGTATTATTGTTGTTTGATGGTGGTAGTTAACCAATATGGAAACCCACACCACACATACACACACAAACACCACATATATGCACATACACCCCCCCAACACACACACCACACAATCATACACATACCACACACATACACATCACACATATGCCACACCCATACCCCTTCCCACCCACATTTTATTTATGGGTAGGGTCTTGTGTAGCTCAGCTGGCTTCCACTATAGCCAGCAATGACCCTGAACTTCTGATCCTCCTGCCTCCACCTCCCAAGTGCTGGGATTACAGGCCTGCACCACCCACCACACCCAGCAGAACACCTTTTATTTACAAAGCAGTTGACCTTATGGTATAGATAGCAACACTTGGAGGTGGATGTCATCATCTTCTTTCCATAACTGAGGAAACTGAGAGCCAACGAGGGCAGGTGACACCCAAGGACACTCAGGTAGTATGTGGCGTGTGGAGACAATCTGATACTAGGGTTCCAAATCTTGCTTCTTTCTGCTTTCCAGGTGAGCGGATGGGGACAGGAGGGAGGGAACACAGTGAGGCAGGCAGCGGTGGGTTAGGTCGTCCTAGGTGAGACGTCAGTTTTCTTCTTCATAGAATGAGGCAAGGGAGGGGCACGTCCTTATGAAAACCATAGAGGTCCTAGAGTGCCCCTTGCCTTGTCTCCACCTTGGCCAGCCTGTCCCTTCTGACCTGAGCACTAGGTCACTAGCTCCCTTGGATTTTCTCACTTTTGGCCTTTTCTGTAGTCTTCACTGTTTCTGGAACTCTCCTCAGTTTCTGGCCTGCTTGCAAATCCAGCTGAATTCTCCTCATCCCTCTCAGTTCTTTTAGGATTTGAAACTGGGTGACTCTATCGGGATTTCCATGATGTGGAGCCAGGAACCTGCCTTTAATCTGTACTCAGCCCTTTGCCAGTTCTGTCATCCCCCGCTAGGACGTAACTTCCCACATCCTGAAAGAAGGTGCCCACAGAGCCTGTGTCACAGGGGTGCTGGTGCTGGGGGACTGAGTGAGGTCACCCAACAAGGAGCTTAGCCTGGGGCCAGAAACAGCTGCCATTAGTGCTGCACTGTCACATTACCACAAGACATTTGCAGGCTGTACTTGAAGGACTCTGAGGGCCAGGAAGAAAGAGAGACTTGAGGTAGGAATAAGATGTAAAGTCAAAGGAAGGGTGGGAAGCAGCAACCAGCCACCCAGAGGCGCCACTCACCGGAGAACCATCATGTAGAGGGGGTTGTGGGAGACGCAGGCTATGAGCGCCGCAAAGGAGATGAGGAAGATGCATGGGAGCAGGAAGTGGGCACAGGACACAGGGCACGATCCTGTCTTTGCTGAAGCAGAGCCTCCGGTTACACAGCTGCAGTTCAAATACCTCTTGAAGAACAGGAAAAGAGGGGAAAAACATGTCAGGCTTCACACGTCCATACCACCTCTTCCCACAGAGTTCTACCAGTTCCAATCCCTTTGCCCTTCGGGTCCCTAGGGAAGAAGGCAGGCAAGTCTGGATTTGGAAGAGACCAGATGAGGGTTTCAGAGTGCCCCGTGGGATCCCATCTCTCTCACTCTTTGGACACTAGAAACCATCTTCACCAAAACCAGCATCCAGCAGGGGCTGGGCTCCTGCAGTCACCCCCATATCTGGGTGCCCAGGATCCTACTACTAGGCAAAGCTTTTATAATTTGGAGCCTGGGGCTGGGGAGGGCTCTCCTCTGGGCCAAGCAGCAGTGGCTGGGCAGGCTGCTGCAGGGGAGCTATACATGGGGGGCAGAGGGGAACACAGTGGAGTCATCTGAGCCTTGGTCTGCCAGGCTTCTGGCACTTCCCACCCAAGAAGGATTTCTTTGGCCTATGAGGGACTCCAGAGGAGGCCCCTGCCTCATGTCACAAAATTTTGTAGCTCAGTATTGCTGTACGGCTCATTCTGGTGGCCAGTGTTCATCTGGGGGTCTTTTCCTTCCTTCCTAAGTGTCTGATGTGGGTCTATGATGATGCCTCATAGCTGTTATGGGGTCAGTATAAGGAACTAATGAGTTGGGATATTTCCTTTCACTAGACAGTGGGAACTATGTTCTCTCTCTACCTTAACTCCTAGGAAGCTCAGACATTCATAATACACAATATTGCTGTTATTACCTCCCTTGGTCTGGATTTTAAAATATCAGAACTTTTTTACCTTATAATTTAATGTTTTTTTTCCCTTGATATCAGGGTAATGGATTTTATCTTGATGTGCCTGTGCTGTTATTGGAAGCTTGTCAAAATTATTTCTGGAAGTAGATGAGTCAGAGGTAAGTAAATAAAGATAAGAAAACCACAGAAGCCACCAACTCCGGTTAGAAGGTAACCAAGGAGCACCCTGTCTCAGATCCTCACCCTTCTCTGTCTGAGAGCCTTGAGCCTCTGTCCACAGAGGTGACTGGGGGAGCAGCCTTGTCCTGTCTCCTTAGAGAAGGTGGTAAATGTGGTTAGCCTGGCCCATGCCCCTATATAGGTACATTCCTCTCATTGGGACATCCTGTGGTAATGGTATACATTCCTTATTGCTCTGAGGGGGAGATCATCTAACTGCTAAGCCTGGCCAGCATAGCCTGACTCTGCCCAGCCCTGGCCCTGCTAGCTCGGCGTTCCTTACTCAGTGCCCACCCAGCCCTCTTTTACGGCGCTCATGGTGACTTCAAACCTAGGCCTTCTACCTGTTCTTTTCTTTCCTTATATGCCACGCTTTGCTCCCAGACTCCTTCCACAAGACTCCTTCCACTGCCTGCTAAGGTCTAAGTCATCTCAGGAGGCCCCCAGGCACTCTGTGCCATGAAGTACTCCTCCCCCAGCATCTATCTTATGCATTTATTGGATCAGAAATAAACTATGAGAACAGAACCTTGTCTTGTGGGAGGGATCACTACCTCATCCTCAGCCTAGTAGTTGTGCCCAATGTTTTCTGTTTGTTGAACGACTCAAGTTGGTTTTCTGTTGGCTGATCCCAGAAGGCCTGGAGCTGCCATGCTCATAGCCAATGCCTTACTGAGTGAGTATGGAGAGCTTCCCAGAACAGGGTTGTGGGACACATGGTCTTGAAAATAAGTATCCCAGATGACACAGAGCTCTGGCTTCTAATCCCTGATCTGCTCTTAAGCAGTTTCATGGTTTTGGGCCAGTTGTATATGCACCCCTTGGAGTTGAGGGGTTGAAACAAATGCTCTCAACTGCTGCTTCCAGCACTGACCTTCCAGGTCCCTGTCACAGAGACCCTCCATTCCCAATTTATCTGGGCCAGCCCACGTGGCTCTGCAGCATAACCAGAATGCAGAATGCTCAGACTTGTTCCTGCTGTATCGCCAAGTCCCCAAGAATGAACTTGTTGGGCCTGGGCCAATCTTTAATTGACTTTGGGCTGCAGGCACCTGGTCATGACCCCAGGGCAGGAGAGGTGGAGAGAGGGTGGAGGAGACCAGGATGCTGATACTGAGTCCCAGAGCCAAGGAGCAGTCTGTGAGTATACACAGAGCCCCAAGGCCCCATGAAGCTCTACTTGCCCCCCCCCCATGACCCCAGCTGCCCTTACCGCTTGCTTGGAGGCTGCAGAACTCATGTTGATGCTGCTACAGCCAGCGTGGCAAGGAGAGATGTACTCAACTCCATTGTCTCCACAGATGGGGTGGAAGATGGAATCTGAGCACAAGCAGTCCCTGCGGCAGGCAGGAGGCTGCGGATGTATAGAACTTGATGTGCTGCCAGCAAAACAGGAAGTGAGGAATCAAACAAAGCAGGACCAAGAATCAGCACTACACTCCAGCTTGGTCTGAGTTCCTGGCCTGGCTGATGTGCCTGTGTGTCTCTGTTTGTCTTGGGCCATTGCCACCTTAGGATTTAAACTATGCCTACGGGAACCAGCAGTGAATCTGTCATGGCCCAGAGGTCAAGGCCTTCTCCATTTCTCCTGACATTTGGAGCCCAAACCCAACTATTCAATTGGAAAGGTCTGGTCAGCAAACCCTACATGATCTGAGTCAAAATGACCAACCGAGACTCTGTTGAGAGAAATGGCCAATGCCATAGAACCCTCACCCTGCCTCCTGGCTTATCTATATGACACTCGGTTTTCTGTATTGCTACGTGAGAAATCAGATCACAGTGAACAGGACAGAGTGAGGTAGAAATGGAGAGGAAGGCATGTGGCAGTCGATCCAGGCTCTGGTTAGCAAAGGATAGCTCCTCACCCTTTATTCAATTACCTGGGGGGATAGACCTCGGCCACAGGAGGGGTAGAACATCCCATGAAGAAGAGAGGGGCACAGAGGATCATGGAGATGGTGATGATGGTGGCAGCCACACGGGGGATGGTTTGCAGAGGGAAAACAAAACGCTTCATGAGGATTCCTCCAAACAGCATCCCGAGGGCTGCAGCAGGAAGGTTTACAGCACCTACAGATGGCGAGAAGGAGTGGAGCTGGGTGTCCAGCTTGGGAGCCTTGAGCTGGACCACCAGGAAGGGAGTGTGGCTTCACAGAGGACATGCTAAATTATATCAGTGGCTGATGTTATTAAATATTGACTGTTTTCTAGAGAGTTAGTTTCATTAGAGGGTTCCCCTGCCTGTGCAAAGAATGAACAAGCAGTCAGCTAGGTGTGATAGCTCATGCCTATAATCCTAGCACTTGGGAGACAGAAGTAGGAGGAGCAGTAATTCAATGTCATCCTTAGCTACATAGCAAGTTTGAGGCCAGCCTGGACTACACTAGTCTTTGTCTCAAGGAAACAAAATTGAAAACAGAACAACAAAAAAGGTGACAGAGACCCTTTGCAGGTCAACAGATGTGGGTTGAATGGGCATTTATTAAGCACCTTTCATTACCCGGGCCCTCCCTGACTCCTCACTGTGACTGAGTAGGATTTGCAATGCAAGGGTGGCGACCCTGATCAGATACCAGAATAGAGTGGTAATGTTATATCTAAAGACCACACAGGAGTTCAATGAGTAGAAGAGAGTCACCTCCAAATTGCATCCCCTGACTACCTTGACAAATCTGTATGGTCAAGTTCACCTATGAGTTGGGCCTAATCGTCCACCTGGGCATTTAGTGGGACCCCTATCACTGGTTCTCTGTGTCTACTACAACAAATGTGATGCCCCCCATAGATTATGGGTTCATTGATCTGAGTAGAACTGAGCATCTGCACTATTATTATGTAAAGCTCTATGGGGGAGCCTGAAGTACTGCAAGGTTGAGACTCACTGACCATACAACGCTCTTAACAAAGCAAACATGTTCAAGTTTCTGGAGAAGGAAACCCCTACCCTAGGAGATGTTTTATCTGTCTGGTGCTCCATCTTCTTCCCTGTCTCCTCTGCTGTGCTTGGTGAGGTCAGTTGGGAGGGTATCAGATTCCCACCCTCTTGATAGGAAGGAAGGCAGCCCCCCACCTCCACCCACTCCTGAATAGAATAGGAACCCCAGAAACCTGCCAAGAACATGCTAGATTGCCAACCAGGAAAAATGTCCTTAAAATTCTTTCTCTTGGGCAAGCCCTCCCGTCTCGTCTCCTGTCTGTGTCCGGTCTGGCCCCTGGCTGTCCCTGGATGGACAGCACAGTACCCACTCCTCCCTCAGGCAGTACCACCCGGGCCCTGTAGTGCCCTCTGACACACCAATGAGAAAGTTGGCATAGGCGGCCGAGGCACCATACTGCTTCTCCAGGAACTTGTTGAGGAATGTGGAGAGGCCAGCGATGACAGATGAGAAGGTGCACTGGGTCAGGACCACCAGAATGAAGAGAGGGTTCATCAGCAGCTTCAGAAAGATGCGGGGGAACCCTGCAGGTAGATGGCTGTCAGGGGGCAGGCCTTGACAGGAGCACCATGGGCTTACTACAGACTCGCTATCACCGTGTCTCTTCCCTCAGGCAAGCTTCCTTTCTTCCTCAAGGCAGAATCTGAGTCACCTGGGCTCATAGCAGTCAGCCCGGGGACACACAGTCACTGGACTCCCTGTCACCATACTCATCGACTGACTAAAATGAGGACACACCTAAGAGAAAGCAGGTAATAGATGCAGAGAAACAAGGCCAACTTGGGAAGCAGTCTTCTCTCATGACTGCCACCTCCACAGGAAGGGAAGAGGGAGTGGCAGTGGAGGCCATGGGCTTGGGGTGGTGTCTGGCTCTGCCTGAATTAGGGTCTATTGATACCCACAACAAACTAGTCACCAGGATCCCCGGTAGAAGCCTGTGATCTAAGGGTGCACTTGGGAGGTGAGCAGTTACAGACCTTGCTGTTCTTGCCACTCTTTGGCCTACACCTGGCCTCCTGCCACCCAGAGCCAGCCCACCCAAGGCTACTGGATCAGTTGGTTACGTTTAATGAAATCCATCAGGGAGCCTCTTGACTGGTCCTCCTCCATCTTCCTTGTTTCTTCTGCTATATCAGGAGACGTCTGAAGGCAGCAAAAAGGGTAAGTGTTAATGATCCATCCCTGGGCTCTTGCCCCTGTGGTCTCAGCGACTCGGGGATGGGAAGTGTTTACGGCAGGCATCCAGAGAATGCACTCCTGAAGCAAACACTGCCTATATTTTTAATACACCTCGTGCCTTGGCTGGAGATCAGAATGAATCTGTGCCAATGCCTTCTATGGTACCTATCGGCATATTGTTTCCTCTGGCTTTCCCATGAGTGATGCCAAAAGTGCTTTCCTGGGTCTCATTCTTTGTCCATCTGTCATGACTACACTTGTATTCCACACTCAGATTCTAGGGACAACTTCTAGGACACTGGAGTCTAGAATGTCCCTTGTTCTGTGCTCTCTTTCTGCATTCTCTCTGAAGTCTCCTTCCTCCTCAATACAAAGGTGAGTCTTCCTCTAGGCTATGTTCTAGCCTTGACCTGAGCTTCTGGGCAGGCCACTTCAGTGACGTTCCCTGCCTCTGAACCCAATAGCTCCAGCCAGAGGCCCCAGCTGACACCTCACAGACATAGGCCTGGGCTTATCAGCACCCTTAGGTGTTCCCATTCAGTAAGCACTTGCTCCAGTCTGGGCAATGAGCCCAGCATTCCACATGCATTGTATCCCTCCTCACAACTTCCCAGATAGATACTCTAATTATTTTAAGGAAGAGAAAACTTAGACACAAAGCAAGTTGCCTAAAATCACCCAGATAGTTTATGGGCAGCAGCAGAACTGCCTCCAGTCCAAGTCTGTCGAAGCTTTAGATCATCAAAGCACATTACAGTCTCTTAAATTCTTCTCTGAGACAAGCCCAGGTGCTCTACCCATACCTTCTTCCAACAGCAGTGCTTACTTCTGTCTCAAATCCTGGGCACAAAACACAGTCTCCTGCTTCTCCAACCCAATCCACTGCAAAGTCTTCACAGGGCCCCTCCAGGAACATCCAGTTTGGCATTTGCACCATCTAATGACCATTGCCCTGGCCCTCAGCTGCATTCTCCATCTCTCCCCTGGGCCTCTTGGATCTCTAGCCCTCATTCCTTCATGACACCCCCGAACCTCAGCCAACTGCCATGTTGCCACTGAGTGGCCGCCCAGTCACTGCAGTGCCCCAAACTTCATGGAATAGTGTTATACCTTTCAGCCTCACATAAAGGCCCCATCCAGCCTCCTCTTCCCTGTTTCCCATTCTCATCCTCCCAGTCCCTTCACCCAGAAGACAGAACCCTGCCCAGAACATGCTCCACTCTCAGTCCACCCTCACACATCACTTGCACTTCTCACCCAGACCTGCCAGTGCAGGCCTTAGTGGACTCTATTAAATGCAAACGTTGACTGTGTCCTGCCACCTGCTCAGTGTGTGTGTGTGTGTGTGTGTGTGTGTGTGTGTGTCCACATAGAGACCAGAGAACACTCTGGGACACCATTCACCTTGTTGCTTTGAGATAGGGTCTCTCACTGGCCTGGGGCTTACCCAGTAGGCTAGGCTGGCTGGCCAGCAAGCCTCAGGGAATCCTGTTTCTGCCTCCCTATGCTGGGATTATAATTATGTACCACCATGCTTGGCTTTTTTTTTCTAACGAGGGTTCTAGGGATCAAACTCAGGTCCTCATGTTTGCATGACAAACACTTTATGGACTGAGCTGTCTCCCAGGCTCCCTATCCCATTACTAAGCTTTAGTTGTCTCATAGATCTTTAGCCCAATTTAGGTGAACTCAGGATTTCCCAGACCATGTTCCCTGGAGGCCTCCTGGTCTTTGAGAAGTAGCATGGTAAGGGTACATAGAGGGGGCACCACCTCTCAATGTCTCTTATAGACCCTGCCTCCTGAGCCTTGTTTCGGTTGCACTCGGTTTACTGAACCTGCAGCAGTAGCTCAGTCCCTTTCTTAAGTTCCTATATACTCAGAATCGTGGGTTCTCAGAAGCTCACCTCTGCTCCACTGGGCATGGCTCGAGGGAAGAAGAAAAAGGGTAAAGAAGTGAGAACCAAGAAGCCTGAAGAGATGAGCAGGCCCAGCCACCAGGCTCCGATCCATCGTGGGTCACCGGGGCTCAAGTTCACCGTAGCTATAGGGAACCAAATGATACAAGTGTTTGTTGGGTGAATACATGATCTCCCCTTACTGGAAAGGTGAAATCTATTCTGGTGATGTTTACTGACTTTCTTCCTACAATAGTGACAATACACACCATGAGATAGGACATTGGTGAGTATAATACACACTCTTCAGGCTGTTCTGGAAGTTTCATAATCCCTAGGAGCTTGAGGATTTAGCCACCAAAAGGGTGGGCTGCCTGGCCTCCAAAAGAGATCCCCTGAATCTACCTCCCGTCTAGAAGCTTCCATTGTCTTCCTCACCGACAACAAGCATGGACACAAAGAGAGTGGGAAAGTGGCAGAATGGTTCCCAGTCATGCCATGACAGGCATCCCAGGCATTGTCCCCGGTGGACTAAGAGCCCCATTGCTGGTCTCTTTGGGCAGCCAAGGAGGAGGGATTAATTCAGAAGTGCCAGTAAAAGGATGGTAGGGATGGGTGTTCTCTGAGTACTCACCTGTGTCCACTCTGCCATAGTCCACAAAGATCCGCAGCATGACCGAGCCTAGCAGGTACCCAAAAGCCGGTCCAAACACAGCAATAGCAAATAATATGGCTGGAAATTTAAGTGAGGGAGAGGACGCTAAGGGGGCTGAGAAGGTTCAGTAGCACCGGGTTCCCAAGCTGAGGAGGACTCCTGAGATATCACCTACTGTCCCCCAACACTAACAAGTCTATTGCTATGGCATCTCCTGCAGACAAGGCCAGGTGCCAAGGGATGTAGAACCAAGCCTGCTTCTCCTCCAGCATCTGCCAGAGAGACCTGCTGGCCTGGAATGAACTTGCCTCCATGATGTCTTTAAAAGATGCCAGTCCAGGGTATGCTAGTAGATAAAGCTCTGTGTGCATACAGTACTGGTGATCCTAGCAGGAAAGAGCATGTAGGGTGCTGAGATGGTGGCACATGTCTTTAATCCCAGCACTTAGGAGGCAGAGGCAGGTGGATCTCTGTGAGATCAAGGCCAGTCTGGTCTTCATAGCCAGTTCCAGGCCAGCTGGAGCTACTGGGAGACCCTGTCTAAAATTTTTTTAAAAAGAGCATGTGGCGGGAGGGCGG